TCCTCTCCTTTCAATTTAATTTCCTCCTTTTTCCAGCCATCCATCTCTCCCCCTCCAATTGCACCTCATCACTTCATCCACCTTTTATTATTTTTTCTTTCATCTCTTCCTCCTTTTCCCCCCTCTTCTATTTCCTTTTTTTTCTCTCCGTCTCCTACTCTGGTGGGGCTGGAGGTATTTTACAGCAGAACCACAGAGAATCACAGCTCCGACTGATTATTAAGAGGGAAACAACAGTGATTCATTCAGACGCACTACACATCTCGAGCTCCCTATTGTTCTCAGCTGTCATCATGAAAGCACGCTGTATACACCTGTATAAACATTCACGCTGCTGCTTGATCACTCTGTTCTCCCAAGTTTGAACCCTGCTAATCTTCAGTGTTGGCACAGCGGGGGAGATTTCTTTCCAGAGGGAGAGGCTGAGACATAGCAGCACATCTGAAGTGAACAGGAAACAGACCCACTCCACCTTGATGTGAAAGCCCAGCAGGGATATGACCACATGACTTAAGGCACTGGATGCATCCTCCTCCTCCTCCTCCTCCTCCTTCACTTCAAAAGAACATCAGCTTCATTAAAGAGGAGTGCCAGGAAACATGAGAAAGTGCTACAAAGAGATGAGTGTTTGTCCTCATATCCATAGGCGAGCCTGCTTTCACAAACACACACGTTCATGAAAACAGATTTCATTTACTCACAGATTTGTATGCAGCAGCCCACACACAATCATAAAAATGAGAACGCACATGCAAACACGTGCACTCTTGTATAATCCAAGGCTGAACGGGGACAGCGCTGTGTGTGCTGGGGTAAAAAAAACTAAAAGACAAGGGAAGAGGTAATTAGGGCCACACATACTGTAGCTGCGACAGTGTACACACACACACTCAAACAAAGTGTGTCAGTATGACTGTAGTGCCAAATGTTTGTCAGGTGAACTGGACCTCTGAGAACCCTCAGAGAAACAACACAAAACACGAAGAAACAAGAGGGAGGGAGGAGAGGGGTGGAAAACAGCGTTGTTTTTATTTGAGGAAAACTATCATATGTAACCAGAGGGATGGGATGCTCAATGCAGCGCAGTTATTTTGCTCCAAAATGTGGTTCAAAGCGGTCACGTCACGTGACCATGGCTAAGTGATGCTTCGGTGCATCACGCCGTAGATATGAACTATGGGTATGAATCAAAGTCAGAAGTGAGAAGTAGAACGCATCTTGCAAATCAGCAGAAAATTGCATTAAATGAGTGGAGTGAAGTAGTTTTCATGTGATTAACTAGATGCTGGAGACAGTTATCATTGTGCTCGTGAGCCACATTCTTCATCACAAGCATGACTGGCTGGAAAGATGTCACGTGAGGAGAGATGCTTAAATAAGAAGGGGTCCATGTTCATGTTCATCATCACAACAAATATGATAATTATTGTACATCTGGCATTACTGGTGGAAAATTCTAAACTAGAATTGGATGGAAAGTGAATGAGAGTGTGTGAGATTGCACGTAGTGAATTTTTAAAGGACAAATGCGTTCCTCAGAGAAACGTCTGTGTAACTTTAGCTTTCAGACGTGCCCTGACATTTTCTTCAGGACAGGCTGTTTGTTTGTTGAGTAAAATGTCTGGGAAGCAAGTTTAGATGGCGTATTAATATCTCAGGAGCCATACCTGCAGAAGATGCAGATGAAGATCTCAATTTGGAAAGACAACAAGATTGTTAACATCAAGACTGGCAGATTCTGACACACACATTTATTTGTTATTGTCAATGGCTCAGTCAGTATTAAGCTGTGTACATCAATCTGTTGCTGATTAATTATTGTTTAAACAGCATAAATAATGTGCTTGGATGTGGTTCTAATTCAAATTCCTTTAAGAGCTGACAGACCATATCAGTCTGATAATAAGCTGATTAATGCTGCTCTGTAAATACAGTTGCCCACACAGTCTGGAAAACAGAGACGTGCATGGTGAGACAGACAGACAGAATACCCACACTGCAGGTACATTTAATTATTTAACTGGACCTCTGATACTTTGAGATACTTGTATTTTACTTGAATATTTTATTTTTCATTGTACAGTTGATGAAAACATGAAAACATCAAAGATTCATTGATATACAGTTTATCTTTTGAGATTATTTATTGCTGTTTGCTATAGAACATGAATAAAAGTAAATACATTACCTCATCTGTGAACATGATTTGCAACCGAGGTAGGTTTTCATCTGTAAAATTGTGAAGACAACTCCCATAATCCCACGCTGCTTCCTGACGTCATCCAAGTAGATCTATTGTCATTGTTTTGATTGCGAGCCTCTCAATCTCTCCAAGACCAACAACTAACAAATGTTGGGATTGTTGATTAATCTGAGTTAATAATAATAATAATAATAATTCATCCATCCAGTCCCAAGGTCACATCTTCAAACATCCAGACAACAACAGTCTAATGAGACTTAATATATTCACGTTTCTGTTAAGTTGGTTTTCTGGGGAACAAGAAGCAGCATCAGAGTAATATTTTAGTGAGTCTCCGTCACACATGAACATTCAACACAAGGCACATTTGCTGTTTTCAGTGAAGGGGGCTTGATTAGACATCACCCTCAGTGTTAACGTTTCCCACTGTGGATTCACTGGTGTGTCAGGCAAAAACAGCTGAGAATGACGATAAACCTGCTGCTGCTGGATGTTCTTTAATGTTCTGAAGTCATGATGGCACAATAATAATATAAATTATATAATTCAGTTTTACCTGTGCCCGAGCATAACATCTATTTTATTTTATTATTATTATTTATTTTTATATGTTTTGTACCCATTACAAAACATTTTGCGACCCAGTGCAGGACTACGTTGGGGGTGATGAGCAAATATCTCTAACCCCTCCCTTTCGGAGCTTACAGGTGGATGCTGGGGTGGTGTAGGGGCTGAATCAGTGGGGAGCAACACTGACGCAGGGCAGATACATTGACAGGCAAAGGGAGAGATGGGAAATCTTTGCAGTTGAAATAAACAGTCATCTTGGGGAGTGTGTATGATAGAGGATTGTGGAGCGAGAGAACTAGCTCACTAACTCCAAACTCCACAAAAATCTAACCAGAGACATGTTGTTTGTGCACTAATTGTTTCTTTGGCTTTGATTTTGTGCTTGGATCATGTTATTCTGTTGGGATGGAGCATTCAGTCAAAATGAATTGTGGAAACTGAAAAAAGACAGAATTCAGCTGGGATTGTAGCCTGAAGGTATTCTGACTGCTTAGGCTCAAGCTGTGTGCTATATCTTTGCACACACACACTTTGTCCTTCAGAGGCATGTCAAAAGTTACTTTGATGGGGGTCCTACAAAAAAATGCAGCTGCAGGGAAAAATTCCCCATCTGGTTTCCAGGTAGCTGTGTGCATTAAGTTTGAAAGTCACCCTGACAGCAGATCAAACTCCAGGAGAAGGACAAAAAGCTTCAGTGCTTCAGTTTCACGTGTGTTCTTCCACAATATAACTTGATATTATACCAAACCACGAATATAAACCTTGTCTCCCATGAGTAACGTTCATGTTTGGGCTCATTTGCATCAGTTATTTATATTCAATGCTAAACAGGAAGGCTTGAGGTTCATACAGTGTAGTGAAACGCAAAGGTGTGAAGGTTAGGGAGATGCCACAGCATAGCAAGTGTTTCATATCTTCACTGCCTCTGTTCAGATTCCTGTACTGTACTGAAAACTGGTGTTGATAGTAGGAACACTAATGTGTTTTAAAAACAAAATGTAGGTGTGTACAATTCAGACTTTCTGCAGAACTGGCTCCAGCTTCTTGTTGAACATACTGATGTCAGAGTAGCAACAATTTTCTCATCCAACTCTAAGTGTAGCTAAATGTTGACCTTTTAGATCTAATATCTCTAATCGCAGGCTGTTTGTTTCACTCAAAACACATTTTACTAGATATAAATCCATGTAATGACTTTTAATTCATATGAATGATCATCATAGAGCAACCTTTCCATTGGCTGCAGCCGACTCTGATATAGCAGAGGAAGGACTGGTTTTCTGTACGAGTTCTAAGTACTTTTTTATTATCATTGTAAATATTTCCAGATGAATTATGGAGATGAAAAGTGCTCATTGCAGTTGGAGTTGCCTTTGGTGTTAAATTGCGATTACAGTCAGCTGATGAATGGGGGTGACATTTTTCTCCCTATGCTCAAGCAGGTCAATGAGGATTTGATGAATCTACTTTGGCATTCACACTTGTGATTTATTATTCATTGAATTCTGCTTTATAGTCGCTGGGATTCAGACCAAGTGCAGCTCTGTGTTACACACACTCAAGGAGTACATATAAATAACAATAACACCTGTTTTCATGAAAAGGAGGACAGAGATTGTCGCCTGCACATGGAGCCATATCTTGGACACTGCCCTGGACAAACCGGGATGTCTGGTCACCACAGATCCACTGAATGTATCAGAGAAGCTCGAGTTTAGAGACCAGTGTGAAAATATGATATAGAGGGACCACTGTCTGTTATCACTATTACATAGATAAGGAATTTCTGGATAACAGCACTCTCAGTTTAATATATATAAGTTACTGCAGCAAAATGGAAATAAGATCCATATATGTATATGTCAGGGGATTCAAAGCCATAAATAGTAAATGAGTGCAATACATTTATAATCGTCAACGTTTTCATGAAATCAGACTCCAGTTTTGATGCTTTTAAATGGAAGTAGCTTTGTCACCATTAGCACAAAGAGCATATACGTCCACCAAGGCCAACACCATATTTTGCAATGTTGAATAATAAAAATGATGGATCCATCCCTTTGTCTGGATCTACACCAAAAGTTGATGGGCTCTTCATTGCCCATGTCCCATCAAGTTTCATGGAAATCTGTTCAGTAGATATGTTTAATCCTGCAAACAAACCAACAAACAAGTGGAAAGGGATGAAAACATACACTCCTTGGTGGAGGTATTAATCTTACACCGATTCACAGTAAACAACTCATGTATGAAACCCGGTGTTACTGTTTCAAATTTTATCTCACTGATATCAGCAACAACTGCCACTTCACAGTAAAAGCATTCAAAGGGCAAAACAGAAGGTCGCTTTTATTGTGTAACAGGATGTGCATAGTGCCATTCTTAAAATCTCTGCTGATGTGCGGAAAACTACTCACGACGTGTGCAGCATGAAATCAGATCACATGGTTGTTCATGACCTAATGGATAAAGGTCAGTTATTAAGTAGAAATGTTTGGCTACACAACAAAACGATATCTTTATTATTTCAGACAAACACTACTCAATGAGAGTCGAACTGCTGTTACCCTGGTAATCTGGATTCCTTCCAAGGATTATGACTGAATGAATTTTCTGTGTCAAACCAATAAAATAATATTAAATGAAAAACTTTAACTCCCATGCAAATGACTTGCAACGAAAAAAAGGTTTCAACAACACAGCAGCTAAATAAGTAGAAATGTTCACATTATTCCAACAGTTTCTATGTGATGGTGACCGTTTCACTCAGTGGGACCTTTTAGCTTCACTGATTTCTAGTGTTTTGCAGAAAGCTGCTGGACGACCTCTACATGGACGTGAACATTCTTCTGTCTGAATGAAAAAGCAAAATACTGGAACTTTCAGATTACAAAATCTGATTTCGTCCTCCTCTCTCTGACACTTTCTAATCAACAGCTTTGACCTGTGCTGGCTGACAACTTAATGTGGAAAAGATCAACCGTTGCCTCCTGCACTCAGATTAAATTAATAGAATGTGATTAGAAGTGGAGAGTGGCTGGTGCAGGAGGAGGAGAAACTCTTCAACTGAAATAAAGTTCAGAAAGAACCCAGTCCAGACCAGATGCAATATAAAACCCACCTCAACACTTGTCATCTGTTCTGATTTTTTTATTTTATAATTTTTTTCCAACATAAAGCCCGGGAGGACTCTTTAAAAATCCAGCTGAAAGCTCTGAAGGCTTATTTATTGAAAAATAATCTTGTACCCTTTATCTTTGTCCTCTGTCCTGCGTCTCCGTTTTTGTGACCAGAGATGATTGCATTGACCAACATTGCCTCAGTCTTGTGGTTCAGTCTGATAAATGACTCTATCCGTCACTGGAGGAGGGAGGGAAGAGTCAGGGAGATAACCAGCTGTCCATCATCCTTTGTCCAAGTGCCGAGAGGAGATTGGATATTGACCCGAGGTTGCCTTCTCCGAGCCGCGATATTTGAGGACTCTGTCATGGATTTGACACTGGGGTACTGATACCGAGTTCCTCTACAGTCATTTAAGTTGTACATTTTCCAACTGAAACCCCTTATTTTTGGTGAGAGGCAGTTCAGAAAATGAAAAGTTGTGTCTCACATCTTGTAGGAACTGTTGTTGTGTATAGTTGGAAGCTTGACCTTGACTTCCGTGAAGTATACTTCCCTGTTGTACTGACAGCTGGTATCATGCTACCCTGTTCTAAGAAGCCTGGTTCTGTACGTCTCCAGCCTGTTACAGTGGAACAACTGCTTTAACAACTACAATCAAACCCGCACCTATCCAGGCCGACTGTATAACACTGCATGCCTGTTCCTATCCTCTTACAGTTTCACTGGGGAAGCTGCGTCACTGCACCATCAGCTCATGTATCTCACCTGCTCTGGCTGTGGCTGCCTCGCAGTGTCCCTTTGCCCCGCCTATCTGTCTGTCTGTCTGTCCCTCACATGCCCTGTCATTATAGACAGTCTCTGCACAGCGCCACCTGCCCGTGACGGAAGTCTCTGCAGGGGCAAAGTCGTCTGTATTTGGGGGAGTGACCTGCGCAGCTGAAGAGGAGGGGTTCCCGCTGGAGCCCACACTCCTGTCGCATCACAGAGAAGGCGGGAAGGATGTGGTTGATCTCTGAGTCGACCACATCGCACTGCACCTCCAACCTGAAGAGAGAAGCAGAGGTATGGATATAAACAATTCACCAGGATTAATCACAGAGAAAATGTTGTCATCATGTTCTTCAATAAATAACTTGGAAACTTATAAAGCAAAGAGTAATTAACATTATTTTTTTTTTGGCATAACCTCAAAATAAACAAAGAGTAGCGACGTGGGAAGAGAGAAGTTTCTCTACCTTCATCACATGACAGACGCCAAATTTAAAAGAGAGGAAAGGAATTTATTGGAGAAGTGACAAGAAAAGTTGGAAAAACTGCAGGAATGAGTTGTGATTGTGAGAAAGATAACTGGTGGCAAAGAACAGAAGGGAGCGACAAGGAGGAGAAACAGAGGTGAGATGAAGGAGAGATACTGTAAACCAAGACAGACAGAGAAAGAGAAAGAGAAAGAAGAGCAGGAGCTGAAGAGGAGGCAGCAACTCCAGCACCAGCAGGCTCTCTGTCTTAGAGCTGTGAAAAGTGCAATGTCTGATCCTTAAGTTTCTGGTTCACCTGCCAGCAGCTGGTTCAGTAAACTACATCAAGATTCTGCCTCGCCCGTATCATCTAGAGTTCAAATGTAGGATCTAATTGTTCAGCATGAGCTCAGCACTTTTTAATCTGTTTGTACACACCCTGCTATCATGCTGCTTTACAGGAAAAACATTGTTTTGATTGATATCAGAGACGTTTTCTATTCAGGCAGTGAAGAAACCCTTAACTCCCGCAAATGACAATGAGAAAAGGTTTCAACAACACAGCTGCTAAATAAGTAGAAATGTTCTCATTATTCCAACAGTTTTTAGATTCACTGATTTCCATGGTTTTGCAGTAAGTTGCTGGACGACCTCTACATGGACGTGAACTTTCTTCTGTCTGACTGAAAAAGCAAAATACTGATTTCTTCCTCCTCTCTCTGACACTTTCTAATCAACAGCTTTGACCTGTGCTGGCTGACAACTTAATATGGAAAAGATCAAACGTTGCCTCCTGCACTCAGATTAAATTAATAGAAATGTGATTGGAGGTGGAGGGCGGCTGGTGCAGCAGGAGGAGAAACCCACAAGCTGTGTTCCAATTCAGGGGCCGGCTCCCTGAGAGGCTGAATTTGAAGAACGATTGTGTTACACAGCTGTGACCAGGCAGTCCCTTTTCTGAAAGCTCCTTTAAACGCAGCTGACGAATGCATCCTTCCTTTCCCGATCAACGGAGGATCCAACGGGGGAGCCAATTTATCCCATGCTTCATTGTGCGCCGGTGATGAAGCTAACACGCTAGCTATGCGGGGGGTGGAGCAGCAGTAAGTGCAGCCGCTCAAAATGTTGCAAGATAAAGGGTCGAAAATGCTGGTGATCGCTTTGCCTCTAAAGCCCCTGTATTTGGACACAGTTACTGAGTTCAGCTCATATTATGAGAAAATGTTATTGGAATTTATCGAGCTATTTATTTTTATGCTGAAAGATGACAAGTTTAAATGTATCTATATTTAGTGCAATCAAATATATATGTGTAATGAGATATCGCACAATAATTATCATGATTTTTGTGGGAAAGACGAACAGAATTGAAATGTTGTCATGAAAAGTATGAACAGGTAGACATCACCCACTAAACCTTCTGTTTGGGTTTGTTTGTCAGACGTTGAGTTATTTCTGGTGGACGTACCCATGCAGCGCCTCCTTGTTGTTGATGAAGTGGAAGTGAGCGGGCTCACAGATGAACCCGGCTGACTGGCATGCCTCCACACAGGACTGGCCCTCTTGAGATACGAGCAGCCTGAGGGACCTGAGAGGAGGCCAGGCAGGCGGAGCCGTCACACTGGCCGACCAACCGAGGGCGGTGGAATTGGGCAGAGGCACGAACAGTGCTCCTGCTGTCTTGCTGCCACTAGCAGACCCCTGTTTGGAGAGGTTGGCTGGAATGAAGGGAGGCTCTGGGGCACAGAAGTCCTGCAGGGAGACAGATTGGTAGAATTAGTTTGAGCAGTTATATTTTAGTGGTGCTACTGTTGGACTAAGGCTGTTTTTACTGTTTATAGGCAGAATGATGATGCAGCTCAGTGGAAAGCATATTAACTGTAGCTTCTTTTCCACAGCAAGCTGTAACCCCTGTGTCTGCTGCTCAGTGACAGTGTTATTCTGTGTTTTAATGGCTACTTAGAGGACACAACACCACCGCCGTGTCCACTGGCTACATCCAACAGTCTGTACCCAGGGGTAGAGAAAGTACTCTAACATTTTACTTAAATAAAATGTACTGAAGTAAAAGTACTAGAGTAAATGTTCTACTCGAGTAAAAGTAATTTTTTGGTTTGAAATATTCTTAAAAAAACTGCCACCACTCGTCATTGATTACTATTAAGAATATAAGATAACAATGTGAGTATGTAACACAAGGTACTGTAAAAATGTAGTGAAGTAGAAAGTACAGATATTTGCTGACATATGTAGTGGAGTAGACTTAAGTAACTTGCTGGGGGTTGTTGCTGCTGCAGTAATGTTGACACTGTGTCAACATGAGTTAACTTTCTTTTTCCAACCCACACTGAGAATGTTTGAACGATTCAAAGGGACAAAACCACAATGATTTGTGTATTATGCTTGTTCTTCATTGTTACTTAAATGGAGATGTGACTATATTGTGAGACAAATTGATACATAAACATTTTCTTTCCCTCGGATTCATATAATAGCCTATATATAAAGATGGATGACATGACACAGCTCCCAAAAGTGAATCCAAAATATCTTGATTGCCTTGAGCCGGCAGAGGTATACACCCCACCTCCTCCAGGTTAGTGGATGAGACACAGACCAAACTTATGTAATTGTACAAAGTTCTTATCACACTTTGGTTTTATTAGTTATTTGATGCTATAAAAAACAGGTGTAATATCATGATTGACAGCTCAGGCTACTGAGTGTGAACTTTGTGTTTTGTCAGGATCCCACCACTCCACACCACAGACTCTGGCTCCATGTGACGTCAACGGTGCAAGATGGCAGCACATGTAGCCGCAATATTTTAGCTTAATTTTTCTCCAATGAGAGGAAGTGGAGACGTTTCATCCATCGTTATATACAGTCACGCTTCATTTACTTCTCACTGTATCTAGTTAGGTTTAGATATATATAACATTATACACAGCATTAAAAAACCCAGACTGAGGATCATTGCCTGGTGTAGACGACATTGACACTTAGTCCAACACTTTTTTCCTTTGTTTGATATCTGCGGTTGCCAGGGAAACATGGCAGCGTGCCATAGTAGCAAATTGAAAATAGTTCAACCTTTATTAACTATTATGTGGATGGCAAAGAGCTGTGCAAGTACACAAGAGCAGAGCTACCCTTCCACTCTGTGCTGCTGCTGCTGCTATATAATCTGCTTTACAGGACTGAATGCAAAAAATACAAGCGTGTATTAATCCGGTTCAAATATGCAAGTGTAAGACAAAAAGAAGCTGATATCTCAGCCAGCTTCCATTACCATATGGCATATGCGCTGACACAGTGAAACAAAAAGGTTTACCAAGTAAGATACGGAGGCTGAGACATCTCTCTGAAGCGAATTAACAGAAAACATGAATGCAAAAGCCTAAACATAAAAATAAACAGAAACATAACCACAACAGAGGTGAATGAGAACACATGAAGACAATGAATGCAGTTACTTACTGTGGTCAAGTCATGGATGAATACTGAGCCGTTATTTATGTAAACCTGGACAAACCAGTCACCACTTAAAATGTGATGCTCATGTATTCGTCGAGTTCTTGACCTTTAGGTGCTCAAATCAACTGTACCGTAACACCTCCAATAGACAAGCATCACATTTTAAACAGGGCTACACCAGTTTCACAAACGACAGCTCACTTGACCACAAAAAAAAACCCATCACGAAAGTTATTCTGCCTTTCATTGTCAACATCTGTTGTTTGAATTTCTGTTGTGTGGCTTTTGCATTTTCCATTAATACACTTGTGTGAGGAGTCTCGACCTCCGTAAAAGCTTGTTTCTATGTAAAATCTTGGTTAATAGGAGTATTTGTTTTTGTCTATGTCTGGCCAGGTTCTGACAAAGGTTGTTGAAAGACCCTCTGCAGTTTGTCTGACATCTAGTTTTAAAAGAAACTGTCTTTCTTTCATGCAACCTCTCCATCATTATCATCCTCACACTTTCTCCTTCTTCATCCCTCCTCATTAGTCTCAGAAGGCCGTCTGCTTTAGAGCCGCAGGGCAGAGATGTGGTTCGTAATGAGAGTTAGCGTGTAGATAAATCACAAGTCTACATACATGGAGTACACACACACACACACACATGCATGCACGCACGCACACACGCTGTTGAATGCACACAGTGATGAAATATTGAGCAGAGTGGGGAGTTTGATAAACGCAGAAAGAGTTTATGTATGAATGAGAAGGAAGTGTGGTGACTACAGAAGACAATCCCTGCATGTGGGTTTTTTATTATATTATTTTATTTTAATCAAGAAGGACAATGCACATAAACATAAATCTAAAAATTAAAAAGAGATGATTTCTATCTGCAGTCCTTTGGCAGGTACAAACTAAATCTAAAACACAGCAAATTCAACAACATATACAACACATACAACACCATCAAAGACTATCACACAACCAGTTATAGAGACAATTCTACGAGTAAACATCAACATATAGCAGCACATTCATTAAATAACGTTTACATGGACTGGACCTCACCTGATGCTGTATGTAGGCATGTACTCTCTCCAGCATCCCCTCACAGGTGTACTCATAAGGCAGATAGGGCTCGACCTGAAAACGACACACACACAGAGACACACGGACACACTCCTTGTTATTACTTTCATATTTTGAACGTACTGCAGTGTATGTTTGTGCTGTCCTCCATTGTTCACACTAATTGCAATAAACTGTCTCTCCTCCTTATTAATTTTAGCAGAGGAAAGGTTTCTATTGTCAGATTTCTACGTGGCCTAATCACTGCATGTCACTGCTTGGAAACTCATTACTCACTTATTTGCATACCAATAGATCATACCCTGCTGTGATGTGCCGCTCTTATGAGTAAAGCAGACTTTTGATTGGCCCTAATTAGAGATGAGCTGGAAACATATTACTCTTTTGTGTTTCTTGCTAATGCTGATGTGTTCAATATGTGCAAACGGACTGCAACATAACTGGATGGATGTAAAATGATTGCATTGCAAGATGTGATATAAATTGAATAAGCTGATTTAATAAATGGCTTTATATTTAGTTTTTTGAATTGGTAGGTTTTTAAGTGAGGCCCTCTGCGGGGCCCTCGGCAACAGTTTTATACAGGCAGGCTGCCTTAGTAAGTGATACACAACCCGGTAAATTGCACTGGCAACCTGAAATCAAAGCAGTCTAATGTTCACCCACATGTGAAATCAGACTTGGCCCATTTCAAATGAAAACCACTGGGAAGCAAGTATGCAGGGATGATGCAATTTAAAAAGTTCCACACACTGCAAATCTGATCAAAGCCTTATGTTAATCTACTTTGTAAAGTGGAGCAGAAAGTAAGCACGTGAACAGGAGTGACACACAAACAAGCTCCCTGCAATAACAATCTACAGGATGTAACAAGAGTTTTCTTTCTATCACTTTTCTCGACATTGATCCTGTTCAGACCTGGTTTTTACATCTTAACGTCTCAGGTGATCTGATCTCTAAGTACTGAGGATGCATTTGAGCTCCGATCACTCAGATCATGTTTGGCTCACAGTCTTTAAGCTGTGCGTCCTGGGCCACATCGAAGGACCACTCAGTCAGCCGACATCGTCTGACGTCGCTACAGCTTCATAACAAAATGAAAACATCTTTCCATTCTCCAGTGTTTCCATACATGTATTTCTTTATTTCTATCAGGAGAGATTTAGTTGGAAAATTGACAAAATGTATTGCCTTGGACAATAAGAGAAGAAAGCCAGAGTCCATATAGATGCCTCGTTTGAAAGGGGCCATCACACTGGTGGAGGTTGATGCTATCTATAGAATTGAGGATCTTAATGAAATGAGTGAACACTGGATATGGAGACTGTGGGGTGACTCAAGAGGAGAAGGTTGACCTAACAGGCAGCTGATAAGAAGGCAGGGAGAGTGGGAGAGAATTAAGAATGAATTGGACATAGAAATCCTCTTTCTGATTGAACTTATGCTGAGCACAATTTGTGGCCACCATCACAATATCAACTCTGACCATCACATAATTTCCTTTTTTCTTCTGTTATTTCAAATAGATAACATCGTATTTCATTGTAGAGCTGTGTGCAACACATTGATTCACTCAGCCCCTCCTCACCTCACTCATTGTCTCACTGATCTGCCACCTATCTGTCATCATCAATAATGAAACAGCAGATGATGAACAGCCTTTAAATAATATTAATGTAGTTTAAAGCACAATAATGGACCAAACATTTAAAGTATCATATCTTTTGACATGTAGTCCAACCTTCAACTGCATATTAGATGATTTCATTACAGCAAGGAATATAAATAAACGAAATATGAATATAATCTGCACAAAGGTCTTTCACTACAAGCACCAGGTCAGAAAGGAGAGACACTAAAAAATACAGGAATAAAAAAGGAGGGCAGAGGATGTTAGGGGAATAACAAAACAAAGGATGAGTCATAAAGAAAGAGGTAAAGAACAAAAAAGAGAAAGAAAGCGATGGAGAAAGGATTTATTGGAACATGAGGACTTGTCTGCCAGAGATTGCTTTGTCGTGCAAGAATGAACATGAGCCTCACAAAGTGTGTGTGTGTATGTGTGTGTGTGTGTGTGTGTGTGTGTGTTTGTGTTGTAGTTAATGGCTGTAATGTGCAGGTAAGGCTCTCACCGCTGATCCACCTGACCTCTGCAATTTCAGTGTCTCTGACTCTATGATCCAATTGTGGTTATGTGTTTGGGTTTGAAAAGGTACCAGCGGTAGAATTTTATCTGACTCTGTGTGTGTGTGTTCGCTGGGGCAGTGTGCCTCCAGCGAAGGGTGAAGTGGTCTATCAGCTCGCTCTCAGTGGTCTGACAGCGCAGACGGAGACAGAGCAGTCAGCCGGGGCTGCTGAGCTGTAGCTTCTCTGACAACACAGACAAGACGAGGAATTGACCACACACATACACACACACACACACACACACACGCACGCGCATTCCTGTCTACCTACTGTAAATGATCCCTCAGTGCCCTTTATGCATTTACAATCAGTTCTCTGCTGGAAGTTGGATCTGTGATACAACCTGGAATTGGCTGGATGGCAGAAGGGGAAATAAATAATGCCAGAGCTGTATTACAACTCATGTGATGACATTTGGCAACAACATCACAGTTTCTTCAGCTGTACTCCAACTTTCTCAAATATAAAAAGAATTATCTGTTGTACTCCCACTTACCTCCTGCTCATGTTATCTAGACATTTAAAAGTATGTGCACAAGAGTAATATACTGCCTATTAAATATTTACTGAGAGTGTCAGTTTTATCCATAAACATGTGAAAGGTTAATGTACATATGTGAGAGGCACAGAATATATGTTACATCCTAAATTCTTCTTTGTCATTATCCCTCCCTTATTTTCAGAAAGATCCAATCTGTGTGGTTGACTCCATAATTAACCTCTCTCCCACTCATGACAGTTCCAAGCATCCTCAAATTCTCCATCAGCCCACATTTACTGCGTGGAACAGTTCAGTGCTCTGTAATATCAGGCTGCTTCCTACATGCTGGCAAACTCTCTCCGGAAAACTCCAGAGTGACAAAGCTGCAGCAGTTTTAGCACTTTAATCTTCCTCACAGCTTCTTATTGGCAAAGGTCATCTATAAAACTAACCTCGCTGAGTAAAAGAATAGAGATGTGTATTATGACAAGCTATACAAATCTATTATTAATAAAAGTTACTAATTACTTTCTTTTATAGACCTGAGGCAAGTGACTTGTTATGTTTGTCCCCTCATAATAACTGACAAGATTGTTGCATGTACATTGCCTCAATTAAAGCAATTATGTTTTTTACATTAAAAGACGTATTGCTGTTTAATAATTTAAACTGAATCAATATTTAAACTCAAACACTTCCCATACTCAAAGACTTAAAGACAATTAAATATTCAATTTACAAGTCCCTGTATCTGTGGAAGTTATAGTGCACAGTGGGTGACAGTACCTTGGTCCTCATGATTTCCCTGATGGCAGAGTCAAACTCCAGAGAGTTATTGTAGTCCACCGTCATGACATGAGGTTTGCCAATGTACTGCTCTGCATAAGGGTGTTGGGACGACACCTTCAGAAGAAACATGCAAGGTGTGCAGTCAGAACTCTACAAATAAAAGTGTAATTGTGGGGATTTCTTAAAACGAAGGTGCTGCAATATATAACAAAGTCAGTTTGATTATTACAGATACATACCATGATCATTTAACATGTTAGGAAATTTAAATATTTCACATTAATAACTTGGACATTTCTGAAATGTGATCATTTTGGTACAGAGCTTGGATAGCAACAATTTCTTGGATTTGAAAGACTTGCATATCAGGGCTGTTGCACTCACCCAAAATAACGTCTTATAATTACAATCATTAAAAGGAACATGTGTTGTATGAAGGATGCCATGTTCCGGCTTCCTTTCAAATACAAAGTGCACCTCCAGTGTATGGTAATGTGAGTTCAGGCAGCCTTTACAATCCTGAACATCCAAACGCCTTCTCAGGGTCAGTGCACCTTCACAGGGAAAACTTTAAAATATGTTCACCACAATATTTAAAATTTTGAGCACTTTTCAAAATGGACGTCCATCATTGCAACATTATACATAAATGACAGAAAATGAGAGAGAAAGCATAATAGGTTCTTTTAAAGGACCTACCAATGAATATAGTTACCCAGCAGGATTGCTTACATACTCTAATCTATGACTGATGGTGGGGAGAAGCAAATGTAATGATCTTACCTCTCTAGAAGTGGGTTTGCCTCTGAAAAACTCGTGATTAAGAGAGCTATGAGGCGGGTGGAACTTGGGTTGGAGGAAAATGCAGCCATTGGCTATTGCTTCAAGAGGGGCGGGACCTTCGTAGGGGAAACCAAAGCCAATAAAGAGCTAGAAAACAAAATAGCAAATGTAATTTTATAATTGTGATAACCACTTAGTTTGAATAAATATAAGAGTGCAGGCCTGTGACAAAGACAGAATAGAAGCTGCACATGAAGTGTCTGTGTGCACCCACACAGCAACAGATAAAGTGTGCAGGTAATATTTTCTATAGCCTCTTGCCTTGGCTTTGCGCAGTAGTTGCTGCAATTCATGCTGGGGCAACAGGCCGTGGTTCTTCACAAAGGCTGGAACCTCCGGAGGTCTCTGAGTCTCATAGTACACTGTGCCGTGCACCTCCATGTACCTGTGGAGAATCTGCAGGAAACCCTCCTTACCCTGCTGAGAGAGGAGGAGAAAAACGATGGGTTGGTGAGATGAAGGTTAAAGGGGTGAAGAGGAGGAGGAGGGTTTTTGGAGAAAGACTGTCAGAAAAGAACAGCACAGAGAGGAATATGTTAAGACTCCAGAGTACAAACACTGTTTGCTGTGTTTGTTTTGTCTCAGATCTGAGTGTGAGCTGTCTGCTGTCTGAATGTGTGGCTGTCAGCTTCTGGTGCCAGTGTGTGTGTGTGTGTGTGTGTGTGTATCACATCTAAGAATATGTCTGTGGTGGAAACGTCTCACAAAACACCTTTTACATGTGATAACTTGTTTCCATATTGGCATTTTCAAAATGGCTGTCCACTCCACAAATGCAAATAAATTGCAATGAGCTTTTTCATCCTTGACTTGAAAAACAAAAAAACTGTGGAAGTAGCAGCAGTGCAGTTATTTTCCAGCTGAATCTCAGATGGATTACCCTCCATTCTCTCAGCTCCTGCTCTTCATAATTACTTTTATTGTCATTTAATCAAACCATACTCATGATTCACTTTTGTTTATAGCAGAGTGAACAAATTATACAATATTTGATCCCAGATCAAACCTGACAAACATTGACAACTGTAATTCAAGTGAGACGGCAATCAAACATCTCTGTCATTTTGTAATTTGCAACATAAAAATAAAGACGAATCTGTGAGGTGTATAGATCCGGCAAAGTTTCTTGGAAAGACAATTAGAGACAGTGAAGACAAACCTCCATGTGAAGCACTCTGTATACACAACACTGTTTTCTCACTGTTTCTTTTATTCATAATTGCATTGGATACTTGTACACTTTGCATAGTTACTGTGACTTCTTTTCCCATAAGAATGAAAAACAGCCCTGAGATGCAGAATCCCATTTAAAAGTAAGTGGGCGAAAGAATAACATTGTTAAATCAGTTAGTGTTTAAAAAAAATCATCATTCAATAAAATTGCTTAAAGGGAATTATAGAAGTAGTCATTATTGTTGTGTAGCATTCACCATGTAAGTGAATCTCTTCCACCGAATTGTCTCTGCATAATATTAGCATTATATATTTGTGTGTGAGAGAGCCACACTTTGAAAAGTCAAGGTCAAGTTTATAGCTTGGGAGCACAAAGAAGAAAAGAAAAAAAACAACAACCAGCGCGAGCTAAGAACAAAAATTGAATCATGTGAATGAAGCATAACCCTGGACCAGAGTATTGACTGGCTGTCCGGTGTTAAGCAGCTTACTGTATCCCTGCTCAGTGCTGGAACCCCCGCGGCCATAATAGGAGGCTGTAGCGATCGATAGCTTCCTCTGTGAGGATTTTCCCAGCCAATTAGGAGATTAGCTCAAGCGCTAAGTGCAGCAGACAACATGAATTAACAGATGGGGAAACATGCGTGGTAGAGTGCAGATTCTATAGCCGGCTCTCGCAGTTGTGTGTGTGTGTGTGTGTGTGTGTGTCCAACTCTCACAGCATGCATTGGATTAGGAATGTTAATGAGTATGTTCTGCTGTGCTGGTTTTTATAGCTCACCTCATTTTATGTGGATTTAAGAAAATGGTTTTTCAAGGCATTTAGTGCAGTCCAGTTTGCATTGTATGTTGGAAGATTACAATCAACATACATGAAGAATAACTCACTAAGACTCATCCTACAAGTTTCCTGTCATCGCATATCACCGACTTGAAAACAGAGCAGGTCTTTGGTCGGCAAAGACAGGCGTCTAATTTTGAGATCATCATTTTGATGTCTGAAAATCGTTGCTAACCAAGGTGCATTTTAATTACAAATCCTGGTCCAACTGTCTGAATGACTTTTTATATTTCTAAGTAATATAAAATATATTTTAAATAAATAACTCTGCAAAAAGGTCTTAAATATGCATTTGATGGATACGTGAAGATATCAAGTTAAAGCTTAATTTCTAAGGTTGTCGGCATCTTTACCAGAAGACATGTTATGCTGCATAATTATTACAGATAGTTGTAGTATTATATAAGGGATATTGTGAGATCAGACTTTTATTTTGTTGTAACTCAACCATGCTCAGCTGCTGCTCTTTGCTTTGGTAGCCGAAGTGTAAACTTTTCTGAATAGAATAAAGTTCATTCTCATCCAAGAGTGGTTCTGATGAAAGGTTGGGAGCCTCGATTTGCAACTCATCCTTGATGATGAAATTACTGCTGTGAATGAGGTGGGAGTCATTTGAGAAGACCAGCAGCTTCCATTAGCGCTGCGTCGGCCATGTTAACCAAGACATGCTGTCAAGAGTTTCATTTTTAAAGACGGAGTCATCGGTTTAATACGCAAAACAAACATCCTTTAAATAACTGTCTGCCTGACCATTCATTGTGCTCTCTGACATGTGGGAGGATAAAAAGTTAATCACTGTTATACATAAAGCTCTGAAGAGTGATGACAGTTGTGCAGCTAAATGTATACTATCACAAGTCGCTTCTCATAAATCACTTTACTCAAATGAGACGTAATAAGAATTGTAGAGGTGTAGAGGTCTGTGCTGATGAACATGTCAACAGTATGTTGTGCTTTTTTTGCAATGTCATTGGCTGTGACATGGACATATAGAAACAGGGTTTCTGTAGAAATTGACAGGTTCTTACCTGAAGCTAATGAGCATCCAGCCAGAAACAACGTTGCAGAAAGATAGAGCGAAAGAAGAAAACACAATCAGATTGAAATGTGCATAGACTGGTACGACAGTATACAATCAATGAGGAAACAAGAAACACATTCTATTGTTTCTGCCTTTTCACCAGGTGAATGCAGATGACAGTGCTTTTATAGTCTCCCTCATGCACATGTTTTTTTCACAAGACCAACAAATAAGGAGATGCAGGTAATTGTACAGGCAGATAACATCTCTATAACCATGGGGCCATATAACCTACGGAGTCACCACTGTGCCCTTCCTCACCATGCTGAGAAAAGCAGGCGAGGTTTCCAGATGAAAATTGCCTGTAAATCAGTGTAAATTGTGTATATAGAGCCACATGAAGCTGAAATATAAAGGTACACACAGCACACTGTGCAAAATGCTGGATTTTTCTGTTAACAGAACAGTACAGGGTTGGACACTGTGTGCATCAACAATTACAGAGAAGCCATCCCGTTTAATTGTAACAGGATATGTATGTATGTATGTATGTACTTTGTGTGTGTGCATAAAACATGTGCATACAAGTAGCAGGACTCTGCACTGTATACAAACTGTCATATGTGCATGACGAACATACATGTATGAGCATATGAATATACTGCATATATGTACATTTTAATTGGTGATGACATATTAATCTGTGTATGTTTGCTGTATATACTTGGTCGTCAACATGCAAATACATTTATTTAAAGCTTATTTTATTCAACCTGTAACAACAGCAGTAAAACAAAACACTAACAGTAATGGAGAGAAACTGAAACAGTTTCAGTATGTTTTTGATTAAAAAAAAAAAGCTTCAGGATCTACAGCAGCAACAAAACCATTCTTAGTTTTTGCGTGTGTGATATTTGTTGTCTGTACCTTCCACATGCTGGCCTCTTTTCCATACACAACAGCCATGTTGTTGACTTTGTTCTGCTGGATGCTCCTCTTCTCTGTCTCATTCAGCTCCTCCGAAACGAAGCCCATGAATGAGTTGTCTGGTGTGTGAGCTGAATGTGAGTGTGTGTGAGAGAAAGGAAAAGACAGGATAGTAGTAAAGGGAGCATCAAAAAAAGAGGGGTTAGGGGAGGGGGGAGAAAGAGAGTTTCACAGTGAGTGAGAGACAGAGAAGACAGAAAAAGAGCACTACATCCATGTTTGCCTCTGTGATTATTGACTCCCTAAGTATTTATGTCATAAAGCCAGCTGCTGTCGAGCTCGAGTCCCCTCACTAGGACAAGTTATACAAACACAAATTTTAAGTACTCGCTCTCAATTCAAGTGTTTTACTTAATAAAAAAACAAGACTGGATATATTCATGGTTTCTTTTTGTTTCTATTTCTGCTTTTTACTCTTGGAAAATAACTTTTTTGAATCCATCTATTTACTGTACCATCACAGTTACAGCCATTTTATTGGTCATCAGAGTACACTCGCACGATGGAGCCTGCTCACTCACACATATGAAGCTGATAAAGGCTGAGTCAGTCACTTGGTGTGAAACAGTTAGCCACACATTCATGTTATAATGATCCTGCCTTTGAGAACCAGCTATAGCAGAATGGGCACAGCACTGTTAAGAGCAGAACGTGAGAGCAGCGGAGAGTTAAGTGCAAACGCTGTGCAGAATGAAACAGAAAAAGAAAAGCAAACGAGAGAAGGAACAGATTCAGCTTGGAGGGATATGATTAACTGCGGTGTTGCTGCAAATAGCTGTATTAAACACATTACGTCAAATGAATGTGAACACGCAGCCAGACCTGTCAAAGAAAGTCATATAAAAACAATGAACAAACATGTTTTTTTTATCATCACAGTGAGAAGGACTGTCAACACTGATGACAGATGTTGTGTGTGGGTGACAATTCAGAGCATTCACTTGTTTTGAAGTAGTATAGTGGAAACAAACAAAACTCAATATATTTTATGATTTACACATTTGAATTAAACAAAATTAGAATACTGATGATGTTTATGATATCAGGATGCAAACACATTCAATTAAAGGTCCCGTGTGTAAGACTCAGGTGAAAGGGAACTATTGGCAGAAATTTAATGTAGAATAATCCTCATGATGTTTTCACTAGTTTGTTTCTTCTAAATTGTATGAATTGTAGTTTTCTTTACCCCAGAAAAGACCCTTTATATTTAAAAACTTTATATTTACGTCGAGGGGACCCTCTCTACGGTGGCCGCCATGTTTTTTACATTAGTCCAGACTGGACAAACTAAACACCTTTTTTTATGACAACTGAAGCTGCCACAGTTTCTTTTTCATGTTTTGAAGGAGAGGGTGAGGGGTGTTCAGCTGCAACATGCAAATTCAACACTAGATATCATAAAAATCTACACACTGTACCTTTAAGATTAAAAAAAAAAATTCCAGGGGGGAAATGTTTTCTTACGGAACATGGTCATGTACTGCCTGGCGTTCAGGTTCCAGTAACCCCAGTTGGTCCTGTAGCCGTGCAGGGTTGCATACTCCTCATGATTGTACGCTGGCTCCGTCCCAAAGGTGTCAATCACTCGGATATGACATCTGTAAAGACAGGACAAATCCTTTATAGCTAAATGGTTGTGTTGAAGCCGCTGTGCAAAAAAATATAAGGAACAATTTGTCACAAACCATATTCAACATTCATAGAAAGTAAATAAACACCATAACAGTGTATATATATATATATATATATATATATATACATATTATATATATATAACTAACTACTATGTATTGATAACACTATAATTTAGAATGTCCTCCTGAGTTTAAAATGCATTGATGAGCATTAAGCACAATACCACAAATAAAAGTACACACAAAGAAGCAAAAAAAAATCACAGCGTGGGAGGTTTGACATTAAGATGACAAGAAAAGGACAAAAGAAATCATTGAGGTTCACAGGCTGGAGGAGTGATAGAGCCCTGATATGTTTTACAGCTGAATGATGAGTAGAGGTGCTGCACTGGAGCTGCGCATAAACATACATCATACACGTGTGCATATGTTCTCTGGCACGCACACACACAAGTGGACTTTTCACTCTTATTTATCCCTCAGACGGGCCACACTGAGCACACTCACTGGTTCAGAATTTGTGTGTGTGTGTGAAAGAAAAAAATAATCCACTACATTCAGAGTGTCTAAAGAACTCTTAAAGGCTCTTGCCTCTGAATACTTAATTGAAAAGCTGCACATAAACAGTTTCCTGGCCTTGAGTCTGCACACAGGCAACTTTTTTCACATATTCTCATATATCCTTATATATTATATATCCTTTTACTTCAGCCACCATCCATTTCTTGTCACCAGTTCTTGTCACAGCAACTTTTACAGACCTCTGGCGTTAGATGCTCTGTGGAGGACAGATGTCCCAGATATGAACCCCAGTGGGACAAAGTTTGGGTTAAGATATGCTTAATCTTCAGAAACCCCAAGAAGCAGCAACTTTATTACAGTTTAACAATATCTAACACCGAGGAAGCTTTACTCTGACTCTACTTCTACGGTTTGTCCATTGACAGTAATTTGTGGTATTTTCATATGTGTCGCATTGTTTGGATTCTGGAAGACGGTGGCCTCTAACCTGCAAAAACTTTGGTTGCCAAGCGTTGGAAACCTTTCAACTCCCTCTTCTTGAGCTTGAATGCTGACATTCCTGGACATTGTATACTTGGAGTTGTTGACTGCTTGAGTCCATAAATCAATTATTGAGGCTTGGTAATTACTTTTTTTATGAAGCTTAAGGACCTTTATACAATAATATTTTGTACAAGTTGGTGGCCTGAATCCCGGGGGACGGGGTGTATGAGGTGTGTCTGTGTTTATATATATATAAAATATACAAATATAAAAAGTCTAATATTTCAAACATTTTGTGTATGTGTATCTTTTCGTATTTTCATTTGTCAATAAATACAAAAAGATGATTGTAACATTTAAAAACAGACTGAATTACATAATATAATTTTATTTCTGCCATTCTGTTTAATGGTCTGTTGAAGCAGCTCGCAGTGGAGAAATTGGGGGAAATCTATGATGGATTTCTTCCCTTTACTTGTCGAACACTAGTGTAAACACCCTTCGATTCTGATAAGCTGACAGCTATAAGCAAAAGTCCTTCATTCCTTCCCTTCATTGTAGCTCTGCTGGAAAAGCTTGGATAAGATGCCATGTTTTGTACAACCAGGCACTTGTCCCCTTGAATGAGCAAGGTAATCTGAACTGTGCTCAAGTGTTTTAAACAGAAACCTTCCACCCTGTAAAATCTGGGGTTCCTTATTTAGACACTCAGCAACAATCGCAGGCTCTCTATCCTTTATTTCTGAGAACAGCATTTAGCTGCAGACAACTGCCGCAAATAAAAACACAGACTTTCAGTGCTTGTTTTCAAGGTCGTATATTTTCAGGAGTTTTAATACAGAAAAAAAGGTGAGGGCATTCCAGTCTTATTCAAGACAAGGTGACACACTCGTTGTTTGAAACTGCTGTTGATATTTCTGTCATTGAGTGCAGCTTGCAGGAGACGAGCCTTTAAATTGATAGAGCTTGGATATAAAAACAGGCTTATCTGCAGGAGGGAGTCAGAAAAACATGCACTTATCTTTGTAGCTTTGTTTAGAGGATGAAACTGTATAGTAAATGTCGTGTGTCTGTTTGTAAAGGCATTATTAAAAACAAATGTTAGTGTCCCTTGTCTACCGTCTCCCCTCGTCCTCTCTCCCTCTAACCTTTCGCTGGCTCTGAAACGGTGAAAATGTTTCTGCCCACAGATAAGAGGTCCCACAGGGAGGAGGGGAAAAGAAAAAGTGGAAGAAGAGGGGATAAGCGGAGGAGTAGCTGAGCTGAATATCTATCGGGAGATCAGAGTATGGGGCTAATCTGGGTTAAACGGCTGCTTGAGGCTCAACAGTCCGCCGAGGTGAGGGGGATATGACAGGGTGGTGCTTTGTCACTAACAGCTTTTGCCTTTGTGGGGAGTTAGAGGAACCTGGATTCTACTGGACAGAAGACAATTTGAATTTAAAATGTGGATGCACACATGATGGTTATATGCATTTAATCAGGATTTATCAGACTTATATTTTATGCAACAGCAGACAAATGTTAAGGGAACATGCTTTCCAATGATTCTGATACCAAATAAATCTCTAATGTTGCTGCTTTCAACAAAGACTAGAGTAGCGTCCATTCTAAAAACATTTGCTTGGCCTATGGTGATGCTGGTTGGCGAACTTGATCTGTTTTAAATGAGCCTCGGTGAACACATGCCAGACTTGGCTCGACTCACAAAACCCAGACCTGGACGATCAGTTTTTGTCACCGTTCATGAACGCGCCTTTTTGTCATCAATGACATTATTATAATAGGACTTAATCCAGCACCTGCTACAACAGAGTAATGTTTGCCTGTTTATTCATAAAGTATGAATACCAAATGTTTGGTCGACTGGTAACACACCTGCCAATTTGAAGGAGATGAAAGGTTTTCAGGATTTGAGCAAATTATAAAACAGTACATACATACAGAGATTCCTTGCATGATAATAAGATGAGTATGCTATTGATGTGCTTCCATGTTGTTGACTATACTGTGAAATTAGGAAACACATGGAACTGCAGAGAAATCCTCTGCTCTGTGAGTGAGCTCTCAGAGAGTCTGAGATGCAACTTGTGCTGAGGGAACTAATCCCTCTAATTCACATAAACATTAGTTTAATTAACAATACAAAGAATAAAGCATATGAGTGGAAGCTGCGACAGCATTGACATGAGCCTGAAGCAGCAGACTAAGTGTGAAGTGTCAAGTTATACAGTAACCACCACACTGTATGAATATGACTGGATGTTAATAGTCAGGCAGCTAAATAATAATCAAGCTATTGTAGATTATCTATGAAACAGAATCATAGACTGTACATAAAGACAGAAAACAACTTAGACGTCTGATCTTCCTTCTTCTTAAGTCAATTTCTCTTTCTATTTGGTGACAGCTTTACTTGCTGGGGTCAGCTACAACCTGCCAAACACACTTTCACACACAAAGGCTCCAATACAAACATTTTTAATCAGGCTCAATGCCTGATTAAAATGGCACACTTCAATTTTTCAAGCCTTTTGTTTTGATAACTCAGCCTGTACTTCAGGTCAAGAAGTGGCCCTCGCAGTTTGCTTTCAGTGGTGCATACGTAATACACACATCAGTACAGCAGTCTTTACAAAGTAAAGAGGCAAAGCAGAAAAGTGAGATGTGAGATATTCTTTTACTGCCTGAGTGAAAGCATTGAGCTGAAGAGTTATCAGATAACTGTGTCAGTTTATTGCCAACCAGAAACCTCTTGCCCCTTTTCTCTGTCTCCCTATCTCAGGTTTGATCTGCTATTTTATAGGAAATAGCAGTTTCAGCCTTAAATAAATTGAACCATAATACTACAATATATACATGGCTATTTAATGTTATGCCTTCTTCCACATGACTTGATTTACACTTTAATTGATAAGAATTGGACATTTTAAAATACATTTTGATGTGTTATATTAATAATTCCTGCTTTATTTTAGTTGAAGAATATCATGGCACCAAAACCTGGACACACGTCAATACCCTGCTGATTACCAACTCATGTTACACACAAGCACTTCAGTGTGTTAAATACAATATATGTGCTCTTATAAAGTGCTGTTAAGGCTGAAGTATGAAGTTACAGATAAAGGTTAATTGTGCTACAGGCAGTCATTTGTTTGTGTTATCATCCTTTCCGTCAATGTGCAACCATATCTAATACTCCACCATTTATCATTTATCCTTCATTACTTACTTACTTGCTTGCTTACTCACTCCGCTGTACCCATTAGTCCTTCTTGGACATGGTAAAGCAGAACTACTTGAGCATGTTGTTGTTGTTAAGCTGTTGAAGTGGAAACATGCTGAAAGCTGGTGCACTGTTAGTTTGGGTAAACTCTGAATGTTACGGGGTACAGAGATGGAAAGAAGCCAGAGAACATGCCTGCGATTACAGAAATTACTTATGTCAGAGCAGCTGGTAAAGTGTTGTCCAGGGGCCTAAAACTTGAGCCCCTGGTTGAGAGACAAAAGATGCGTGTCTGAAGTATGTGTTGAGAAACACCTTAGACTAATGAAACCCATTGAAAGTAATTATTCAACTCAGAAATATGGTAAACAAGCTGTTGGAGTTAGAGAATGCTTTCGTGTGTGATTTCCAACTATAGCTGCTTTCCAACTTGAACTGTACTCCAGAGAAGTGGCTGTAGAACAAATGGGAGAGTCTCAGGAGTTTCTCCAGCACAGCCCCCAAGTAAAAGAGAAAAAAAGAAGTGGTGTTGATGTGCTGAAAAAAACCACATGATCTCAGCAGCGGACTTAATATGTTAATACACTGCGTCCTGCCTCTGCATGCTGCGCCACCCCTCAACTCAGATTTATATGTTGTTGTGAAAACAGCTGAGTGGAGAATCTCCTGATGGAGAGTTCATGGGTGACAGGGAACATCTGGAGAAAGTCTGGACCCAATTTTGTGGACA